GCATGCATCGATGATGTTGTGTGGATGCACCGATGCCGGAACAGCGTGTTGGTAATTACAAGCCCATGGGCTGCACAAAAATCTAGCAGCCTCCTACCGTTGTTATTGAGCTGATCTGTCCCATGCCCTCCAATCACTCCAGACCAGGTGCCAGCATCATGACCCACTCAGGCATTGAAGTCACCCAACAAGATGACTCTATCCCGAGGGGCCACTTTAGCCAGTACCTGTGACAGGTGTTGTATATGTAGGTTATGAAATTTTGATGAAAATAATGAAAAATAAATGAAATTTGAAATTTGCATAATTTATCCAAAATTATGTTAATTATGCTAATTAAGAGATAATCGTATTAATTTATGCGAGTGGGCGTGGTTATGATAATGCAGGTCGTTATGAGAATAAGGTCCAGCCTCGGTGACAAGGATTGTGTTATGAATTGGAATAACGGAATTGATCGTATGCAGTTCTGTAGGTGTTGTGAGCATGAATGAGAGAGAGTCGATTCGACTCTGCTATTTAATTCCGTATTATCGATAAGGATACGATTACTCTCAATTGAACATTATGAATTACGTGTGTTATGGATTATGTGTGGTGATAGGTCCCCCAATAGTTCAAATCTCATACGCAGAACAATTTTACGCAGAATTTCAGGAAGAATCACACACAAACCTTCTGCTTTAATCAATTTTATTTTCTAGCTAAACTTAAATTTTTGGATAATATGAAAACTCAATCTCGGGATTTTAACACAACATTAACACGGTGACCATCGCGATTGCGTTGTTTCACTTTGATAACGGCACCTGTGGTTAATTCCCGACGCGTAACGCAATCGATCGGTTGTTGAGAGAGATTAAAAACATGCAAACTATTCTATCAAAACCTTAACCTTATAATATGCGAATTAGTATACTTGAATTGTTCCACAACACGGCACTCGGTCTTTGATTCGTGTCCAATCCTTAACACATTCTGATATGCGAAATTATTATGCTTGAAATTGTCAGCACAGTACCACGGCGATGTTCGTTCATTGATTCATAAACGATGATGCAATTAAAGCGTTCAACTGAAATACTTCTAATTGCCTCATCAACGTAACTCAATGGGTGGCGATGTTTTTCGTTATCAGCTAATAGTTGACGCATTTATCATGAGTCTTGTATGTTTAATGTGAGCGTTGTTGATTTCTTGCGTTGAGCAAACGCCTAGGTTGATATTCCTTGTCAAAAAAAAATGTTTGTTCGTTGTGTAGCGGTGGGGGAGTGAGGAGGGAGAGAGTGTGGGGGGAGGGCATACGAACGGCTGCCAGTTTCTGTCCACCGCTGGCTGGAAGTGTCAGCACGACGCTCACCGTCGTGCGCCGATGGGTGTTGAGTGCTGGGCCGCTGCCCTCTCAGCGCTGGTGACGCGAAGTTGCGCGCTGTAGCACGCTGGTGGCACGCTGTTGGCACGCGCTGGTGCTGATGCTGGTGCTGATGGCACGCTGGTGGCGCGCGCTCCCTCTCCTTGAAGATGCGCGATCGCGCCCGTGCTGGTTCGCTGACAGCAGTTTCTCTCCACTGCTGGCTGAGCTGCTGCACGCTCTTGCTTGGCATTGCTGGCCGCGCTCCTTCTCCTTGAAGATGCGCGAACGCGCCCGTGCTGGTTCGCTGACAGCAGTTTCCTCTACTGCTCGATGAGCTGCGCCGGCGCACGCTCTTTCCGCTGCTGTAATATCTGACGCTGCGCTCGCGGGCGACAGGTCAAGTTTTTCTTCTGCTGAGTGAGCCGAGTCGCACGCGCTCTCTTTGTTGAGGTTGTTGGCGGCTCTCTGACAACAGGTTTCCTCCACTGCTGTATGACTCAAGTCGCACGCGCTTGGTCACTGGTTTGCTGAAGTTGTTGGCGGCTGTCGTGCTGGCAGATACAGGCTCTTTTCCACTGCTGGATGGCTGCTGCACGTGCTTGCTTGGCGGTGCTGGCGGTCTTTTTCCTGTGCTGGATGGCTGAGTCGGCACAACGCTTGGCCGATGGTTGGTTGACTCTTTGTTTGTTGGCGCTGGACGTTCCGCTCTGCCGCTGCTGGATGGCTGGCACTTGATGTAGGAATAATGTTTTGATTGATACTTTGCCTTTCGCTCTGAACTACGCTCGTTGATACATCGTGACTCAGCGATCCTCGCTACTCAGCGAGGCTCGCTCCTTGGAGCCAGTCGCTCGCTGCGACTGCTCGTCTTGTGGACGTCTTGAATCGCTGATCTGTCTTGACTGCTTTTTGAAAATGCGGCTGACCGTTATATTCAAATACATTCTTCTCTCTGTGCAGTGAAGGGGGGGGGGCGTGGTCTGTGTGTGTGTGAGTTTGTGTGTGTGTACAGATGGCGCCTGCGATAACGATCTGTTTGCCCTGGCGTGAATTTCCTCTCTCGCGCTCTGCGGGAGAGACAAAGATGGTCGGGAGCACCTTCTCCTCTCTATACTTTGAGTTAACATCGCTCAAATACCATTTGGTCCCATGTTCACCAAGACTCGTGTTTGTGACTACGTCCTCCCGACGCACCTCTCGGGTTACCGAGATTCGCATTATGATGGAGTTATTAAAAAGAAAAATAATTTTCATCCTGAGTTTAAGAGGTCCGTTTCCAGATTGTTGGAATCCATTTCCCTTGGTTCTGTAAGGTTCTATAATGGAATATCGTTTAAGGTAAACACGTTATTATTAATGTTATATTGCAATTTTCTTTAAAACTTTGTTTGCCTGGTTGCCGTGTGTGGGGTGGAGTGTGTTTTCTCATTAAACCCGGCTGGCTTTTCCAGATGGCCCCTTGTGATAAGGTGTAATTCCTGCTTCTCCGCGTTGTGAGAGAGACAAAGGTGGTCGGGGTTGCTTGGGATATTGTTTAAACTCTTTCGTGAGTTTGCCCTTTCGCCGCATTCCTTCTCGGTATTCCTGCTCCCAAGTTTGTGATTTAACAGTAAGAGTATTAAAAGGTGAAAATCATTTGATGTCGAATTAATAATTGGATAAGGATTCACTGATGTGTCTGGTGGCCTGTTCTTAATTGGAGTGAGCGTTAGGACCGCTAATTTTATCTTATTCTTGTTGCCCTTTTAAATTTTAACTGTTGTTTCAAATAGCAAATAAGAAAAATATATGGTTTAACCCGTTGGAGTCCTCGTGTCTGGCTTGGCGGATCTGACCCCTGAGAGACCCCCCTCCCCCCTTCCTTAGGGCACATCAAACTCTTGTTCATCTGGAGATCTTCGCAGATAGCTGCTAACATCCTCGCCTCGAGAGTTTTATTATTTCTTTATTTATTTGTGGCCTGTTTACGATCGACATCTGGTTTCCTGTGTGGCTTACATGTTTCTTTATTTATATTAAAAAAAACATATCTATAAGCAAATATTATTAATATCAATTTTGGAAAAGCCTCATATATCCAACACAGGTCATATAAGGCATCTGACTCATCGGCTTTGCCTGCATCCCTCCACGGATGTTCGTCTTCGGTGGGGGAATAAGTAACCACGACCACCACTCCTCGCCTCCGATCGCCACGCTCCCACGCCCCCTTCATTCTATTGTTCATAAGAAGACCAACACCCTGTTGTTTGGCAGTCTGCTGCCCCGAGTAGAGGACTGTCCACCCCTCATGGTGGCAGGAGCCAGAACCGGTCCACCGGGCCTCCTGAATGCCACAGAGATCCAGGCGGTACCCGTCCAGCTCCTGACAGAGGAGTAGCAGCCTCTCCTCTGCAGTGAGCATTCGAACATTCCACGTGGCCGCACGTAGTGGCTTTTCGTTGTTTCTGGAGGAGCCCCGAGGGTAGAGATTCAATTTTCTGGCTCCGCCAATTGGGGTTTGGCCAGGAGACGTAATAGACGCCTGTCCCCCCGGGGCCTCCGGCACAAGCTTATTAGTTAGATATTTTAGACGTGGTTTAGTGGTAAATTTTTGAAGGTGGAGGGGTTACCAGCCCCTCGCACCCGACCAGAGCCCCCGTTTAGCCCCTGTGGTGGTCACAGACGCCATGAGAGGAGGAGCCAATCGGAATTGGCCCTCCCCCCACAGCACTGTCCACGACAGAGTTGCCCGTCCGGCACCACGAGGAGGTAGGGGGTTGTTTTGCCGGACTAACACACACAGACACACATACAGACAGACAACAACAACCGCCATTCGCCACTAACGTCACCACGACGCTTGTGCCAGGCCATGTGCACCTTGAGGCCACGTGAAGTGTCGAACGCCCGCTGGCAGGTCACGGTGCAGACCCAAGTGCCACGGGTCGACTGATTGAGATGACTGAGATGACTGACTGATGCACCACCTGTGCCCCCTACTGTGCCAACCTGCTGTGCTTTAGCTACCCGGCGCTCCGGTCGTTGTTGTGAGCGTCGCTCCTCCGCCCTCCGTTGTTGTTGGAGGGCGACTACCTCCAACTGCCCAGTAGCGTCCTTCACGAGCCTCCTCCACAGAGGCCGATCTTGACACCGCTGGTACCAGTCATCGGCAAGTCCACTCAGCTCCACGTCCTCCTGTACCACATCACTCCATCTCTTCTCTAGCCCGTGCCGCGCCCGCTTAGCCCCCTCGATCCGGCCGAACAAAAGCTGTTTCGGCATGTGGTGGCTGGGCATGCGGGCTACATGACCCAGCCAACACAGCCTTGCCTGCCGGAGGAGCTCACCGATGGGACCTTGCCCAGATCTTTCAAGGATTTGTGAGCTGCTCACACAATCCAGTCTGGTTAACCCCAGGATGGGTCGTAGGCAGGCTAGCCTAAATGTTTCTAACCGGCGAAGATGTACCATTAAGGGGGTCCACAGACACACACAGACATACACAGACACACACACAGACATACACAGACACACACACAGACATACACAGACACACACACTTTCCCCTCCCCCCGCTGCCAGGCCGCAGACGCACTCGAGAGATTGCCGATCGGGTCGATCCCCGCTTCGTAGAGACGGCGGAGCGGGAGTGGTGGTGGGGGGGGGTGCAGGCGGGGCCCGGATCGACTCGCTCGGGCGAGCCACTGCCCCGCCTGGACGCCTGGACGCCGCCGCCGCCGCTGCCACATCCCGCGTGACGTCACGGCCGCCATGTTGTTGTCGGGCCGCTGAGCCGCGGCTCCTCGAGTCTCCTCCACCGCCCGCGCCGTCCACCTCCTCGTCCACACCTCCTCGTCAACACCTCCTCGTCCACCACCACCGCCGCCGCCCTCCATCGTATCGCCTCATTCTCTCTCTCTCTCTCCGTCCCATCTCGTCGCGGCCATGACGACCACGCTCACACAGCGCAGCTCGGGGCTCGTGCAGAGGCGCTCGGCGGCCACGGCGTCGTCGGCGGGCGGCGAGTCGGGCGAGGAGGGCCCCGAGGAGCTCGCGGGGGGAGGCGCCGAGCTCGGCGGCGGCGGCACCGGGGCGCGCGACGCCGACGACAAGGGCGACAGCAAAGAGACGCGCCTCACGCTCATGGAGGAGGTGCTGCTGCTGGGCCTCAAGGATCGCGAGGTGAGGGGATGTGGCGGGGGGCACCCTTGGGGGGGGGGCATGGGGAGGTGGAGGGGGAAGGCCACTCAATTTGGACCCCCCCACCACCCCCGCCGTTTTCGTTTCATTCGGAGCCCCCCTTTCTTCCTCACCGATACCCCAGCATCCGAGTCCCCTCACCAGTCATGTGTATTTCCAGCGCCACCACCACCTACGTACCGTGAACCCCCCTCAACTGGGGGCCCTCAAATGGGGCCCATTACCCCCTCTATGGAGGAGAAGCTGCTGCAGCTGTTATTGATGGGGCCCAAAACTATGATATCTGGGGAGACTCGGGAAGAAAGGCATGGGGGGGGATAAAGGGGTAGGGGGCAGAACCGGTTACAGTGGCACAACGTGGGTCCCTTTGACCCCTTCACGTGGGTCCCTTTGACCCTTTCACGTGGGTCCCTTTGACCCCTTCGCGTGGGTCCCTTTGGCCCCTTCACGTGGGTCCTCGTCCCCTACGCCGAGTCCCCACACGCTCGCTTGTATCCACTTCCTGCTTCCCCATGGCTCCCTCGGCCCTCTCGCCAGAGTTGCGTCACCCGTCTCAGCCGGGTCACTTGGGTCATCTCACCTGAGGTCACACGGCTCAGCCGGGTCACCTGGGTCACCTCACCCGAGGTCACCCGTCTCAGCTGGGTCACCTGGGTCATCTCACCCGAGGTCACCCGAGGTCACCCGTCTCAGCCGGGTCACCTGGGTCACCTCACCCGAGGTCACCCGTCTCAGCTGGGTCACCTCACCCGAGGTCACCCGTCTCAGCTGGGTCACCTGGGTCACCTCACCCGAGGTCACTCGTCTCAGCTGGGTCACCTCACCCGAGGTCACCCGTCTCAGCCGGGTCACCTGGGTCACCTCACCCGAGGTCACCCGTCTCAGCTGGGTCACCTCACCCGAGGTCACCCGTCTCAGCCGGGTCACCTGGGTCACCTCACCCGAGGTCACCCGTCTCAGCTGGGTCACCTGGGTCACTTCACCCGAGGTCACCCGTCTCAGCCGGGTCACCTGGGTCACCTCACCCGAGGTCACCCGTCTCAGCTGGGTCACCTGTCACCCGACGTCACACGGCTCAGCCGGGTCACCTCACCTGGCTTCTGCCATGGCAACTCCTCGCCTAGGACCAGTCTCGTCCCCCCCACCTTGGACCCCTTTACCTGGAATCCCTCTCACCCGGATTCCCCTCACTCACTCGATTTACGTCATCTGCCACCCACTTTACATAAACCCTCTTTACCTGTGTCCCCATGGCCAGGTTGGCAATGAATATGTACACTATACACACGGTGGGGGTGGTGGGCAGTGTACACTCAGGTATTTAGGTATTATGTATACGCGTCCTTGTACATACCTGTGTGTACACATGGGTGTGGACACGGACATGTGTATACACTGGCAGTGTAGCAGCGGACCTGGTAAACCTGCTTACACACGCGTTGTGAACGTGTACTGGAGTAATGTAAAATTACAATCACAACCATTTAGGAAACTACTGCTGGATGATGGCCTCATTACGGGGTTTCTTTGACCATACTTCGCCACTGGCCAGTGCTGGTTGATGGACTGTTTCATGTATCACACGCGCCACTGGTGTTAGCCGTGGCCGAGAATCGAACTCAGCTGGGTTTCTCGTGCCGTACGCTCACCATCTCCGCCCCTCTTCGGGGGTCAAATGTTGGCAGATATGGGTGTATGCGAGTGTGTGTTTGACGTGTTCACTGCCGTGTCTTGTGAGTGTGTAACGCAATATTTACGTACTGTGTGTGCGCGCGGGCTGTTAAAAGGCCAAGAGCACTGGCGTGACCGCGATTAAAAGAGAGCGGATGGGATTAATACAGAGTTTGGATTGCTGTCATTTACATGAGGTGCAGTAAGGAGGGCCAGAGATTGTGGAGAGAGTGGCTGAGATTGTTTTGAGAGGATCCTGGAGTTTTAATAAAAGGGCCTGGGTAATATAGAGGCAGTGTGGAATTGTGATTTGATATAGGGCATGGCATTTTAATGTGAGTAGCCACAATGTGAAAGCGTATCAGTGTAAAAGTGGGCCTGATATTTCTAAAGTCAGTTTCTGGGATTGTAATGTCTCAGAGTGGAATAATTTTAAACAGACGCCCATGGATTCGCGAAGACAGCTGCTTGGATTATCACTAGACAACCAGGTGTTGGATGAGAGATGAGAGATTGGGATTGTGTAGTGAGTGGGATTGTTTCGACGGCAGCAGGGATTGTGAAACAGCTTGTGGTCGTATTTCAGAATCGCTGATTTTGAGGAGCAGCCCAGCCCCAGGGGCGCCCCTTGCTTCTGTCGCCCAACAACGACAAGAATGAGCTGGAGGGGGGCGCCGGGTTTTAAATGAGTTGACTTTCCGCTCTTAAAGAAAAGCCATCCCGCTTTAGTAGCCGGAGCGGTCCAACCGGTTGGTGTGCGTTGCCCAGTGTCTAGGCGTGAGCGGTGGTAACGTGCCACCACTGCCGAGTCCCGCTTCCCTCCCCGTGGGGACCGGCAAGGCCTACCGGGAAGTGGCGACACAATGCTGTGCCCTGAGAGCATGGAGGGCGTGAAACTGGTGCCGTACGTGATACTCTCACGTGCTGTGCAAAGGTCGCTGCTGATTTTCGCCGCGGTGGTGATGCCGAGAGTCAAAACACTGCTCGCCTGCGCATCGTCCACTAACCGCCTGCACATCATCCAGTTACCGTGTGGCAGTGCCAGCAATGGTACTGGTGGAGGGCACAACTTCCCCTACCCACCAGAGTAAATGGTATGTGCCAGTGTCCTGTTACCTGGGGGCAGGTGCACGCCACACCTTACCCCTCCCCTCTTTGCTCCACAGCGACAGGACCTGTAACATGAGGTGGGCTAATCCAGTGTACCTGTGTGTGTGTAGTATCTACCTCTGTGTCTACTGAGTACCTGTATGTGTGTCTACTGTGTACCTGCGTTTGTATGTGCTGTGCCTGCTCAATTTAGTACGTGGCATGCATTTCCCAAATTCCTATTTCTTATTTTTACAGTAATCGTGACATTGTTCAAACGTGAAATAACTAACATCGCCTGCCTTGGCAGTGTGGAACACTCAGAGATCAACTCGCCATGTTCACCGTTAAGACCGCCTAAAGAATGGGAGTGGGGCAGCGGCACGGCAGTTAGTGCACTGCATCAGGAACCCAGCCGCCTGAGTACGAGTCGTGGTCACGACCAACGTCAGCGATGGAGAGTGACTTGACATCTGGACTGGTCCTCCCCACCCCCCACCACCTTCCCCAACCCACACTAGCTTGGTAAAGTATGGTCACGCAAAGCCCTGGACAACCTGCAAGAGAAGACCTTTTCTGTCTTGTTTATTATCACAATTGCCAAACACTGGTCCAAAGTCCTGTAATTTGCAGCTGCAGAGAGCACTGGCGATCGCATGTAAGATAAGAATGGGCGAGTTTCTTGAATTGGCGAAGGTTATATGTAGGTGCTGCCTGTGACCAAACCACCGAGAGTGCGTCCCATCTCGTTTGCTGCTGGGAGCAAGGATTGAGCCCTGATGGTGAGGCGATGCGTGACCGCCGTGTGCAAAACAGGCTGCTGTGGAACTACGTGGTGGGCAGCAGAGAGCAGTGTGGCAAATTGTGTTTTGTACTTTACTATGCTCTTGATATCTATGTCCCTCATCTTTACCAGCCAGCAGTGACTTGGGTGGTGAAAGATTTACTTCAGTGATGTGCTTTTGTTGTGCTTTTGTCCGTCGTTTTGGTGACTCGGGTCGCTCATGCAAATGAGATTCACCGTGGTCTCTAGACTTCTAACGTGGTTACACAAAATCAACCTGACACTCATCTCATCTCACTCATTCACTCATTCTTATCTTGATCTCTTGACTTCTCACCTCGTTAAACAGAATACACTTTAAAGTGGTCTCACATCCCCCATATCTGACATGGTATGGTTTAGGCCTTCATCCAGCAGTGAATCGACAGAGGACTGTCAATTACATTTACGTCAGATCTCTGCTCTGAGAGAAAGGTCATTTCCTGAAAAGCCATCCTGCCGCACGCCTTCGTTGCCGAAAGACAGTGATGGCGATGAGCATATTATTATCAGAGTTGTCTCTTTTGTTTGCATTTTGACTGCTTGTGTTGTGGTTATTGCCAACATGATGCCTTGAATAAAGGTGTCAGTTTTTGTGCCAGTTAAAAGGGTAAAACCTATTACTAGAGCACGTTTGTTGTGACGTGTCCCTTTTGTTAAGTATCTTGTCGCTAGCGTGACATCACGGGTCGTCGCCGTGGCGGTGAGCGTTTTCTTTGCTCACCGTGCGTGCGTTCCGTTGTACAGCCCTGCTTCAACGCCGTCGTCGAGGCGGTGGGTAGTGGGAGCCAGGCCCTGCCCACGGGGTTCGGCCAAGCGGTTTAGACCGAGGCCGCGTGAAGCGCAGTCGCACGTCCTGTGTGGCGCAGCCGCACGTCCAGTGTGGCGTCGGCACGACCGCGAGCGGAGCAACCCCCCTGCTGACAACTTTTTTGTCTTCGTTTAAACATTGGGCAACGTGTCCCTTGGGTTTGACGTTGCAAGTCCGTTGCTTTTACTTGCGAGACGCCGCAGCACGCGACTGAGCCATGAGACTCGAACAAGGTCCAAGTTTGAGTGCGATCGAGGCTGGGAAGCCCCACTCCCCTCCCTCCCTTCTCACCTGGACGGCCAGGCAGATGGAGTCTGGCAGGGGATCTAGGCATTAAAAGGTGTAAAATTGGCCTTTGAATAAAAATTAATTAGGGAATTTTCGAGATGTCATTTCGGTTATCAATAGGAAAATATGCAAAAAGTAACTAGGGGGAGTTTGTAAGTTCCATTTATAAATAAAGATTCATCTTCATAAATTACAATGTCTACGCTGAAATTTTTACTTTTTTTAGCATTTTCTTGACGGTCACGTGACCCCATCCAGCTATTCGCAGCGCCTTAGGTAAAAAAATATATTAAAGCGAAGTTTTGAACACATCTGCTTTATGTTGTTGAACCATGAGCAGCTTGAGTCTCCCAGGGGTCTCCTTCGTGTTGCGTGTGGCTGAACAAATATGAACCTATTTTGTGTATGGTTTAGACGGGCAGGACTTGGCTTCCTGAGTAGATGTGCGCTGGATTGCTGCTTCAATGTCTCTGCAGCATTCTGAGAGGTCACAGCGGGTCACTACTGTGTGGTCTCACAGTGTCACTCATAGACTCGCACAGAGACACATAGACTCACATGGAGATCACAGCGGGTCTCGTCTGCGTGGTCTCGCACAGAGACCCCCTTGCCTCTAGACATTGTACAGGAATTGTCGCTCATGTACACCATCTAGAGATTATTATAACATTAAGAAGCTATTTAGACAAAGTGGGGATTCCCATCAGCTTGCATGGAGACTCGTAGACTTATATAGGCTCACAGACTCGCATAGACACCCACAGCCTGGCGTGGCATTCACAATGATGGTCTGGTCAATGTTTCCGCAATTGCGTGCCAGCGTCGTAGGTGGCCTAAAAAGCAGGAACAATTACGTTTTTCCAGTGACGTTATTCCAAGAAATTTTGGATTGCAGAGATCTTCATCTGCAATGCTGAGCGTCAGTGCTACCCTCCCTGCCTCAGGGACACCCTAACGATGAGGTTTGGTTCTACTTTTATCGGTAGCGTCGTCATCGTCATTTTCAAGCAAATTGCATCTTACAATCGGCGAGGAACTAGAGACGAGCTGGAAGGCTGTCAGGCAGTGAGCCCGCACCAACAATAGCCAAGTTTTGCGGTCCTCTATATTAAGGTGTTTTTAGCCAATTGTATGTATGTTGAACTTATTTTACACTGTACGTAGCCAACCGTGCTCATTGGAGGTGAGTTCATAAATGTGGGAGGAAAACAGACTACCCTGAGAAAACTCACATGTACAAGGGGGCAACACTGTATCCCCATACAGATGGCACAGATGATATTTGCACTTTTATGTACTGCCTTCTGGCGAGCTAAGGTACAGCTCCTCCTCGACACCCACAGGAAAGGAGTTTTACAAAATTAATGCGGTGTTCGACCAACCCTCGCCGCTTCCAGAGTGCCGAATCACAGTCCGCTTGCATAGCCACCAATCCCCTTCAATTAACAGCGCCGTCACCGTGGCAGCGGCGTCATTGTTACCGTTATGGGAGCGGCGCCGCCTGAGTTGTGTGTGCGTCTGCCTGCGCGCGTGCATGCATATATCTGTGTGCACATGTTGTGTGCGTCTGTCCGCGTGTGCGCGCGGTGCTCGGCAGGGCTACACGTCGTTCTGGAACGACTGCATCTCGTCGGGACTGCGTGGCTGCATGCTGGTGGAGCTGGCGCTGCGGGGCCGCATCACGCTGGAGCCTTGCGGCATGCGACGCAAGAGCCTCCTGTCGCGCAAGGTCCTCCCCCTCCCACACTTGCCGCCGCTGCACTTTGTGCGGTTCAGGGTGTTGCTGCGCTGTGCAGGTTGGGGTGTTGCTGTGCGGGTTGTGGTGTTGCTGCGGTGTGCAGGTTGGGGTGTTGCTGTGCGGGTTGTGGTGTTGCTGCTCTGTGCGGGTTGTGGTGTTGCTGTGCGGGTTGGGTGTTGCTGTGCGGGTTGTGTTGCTGTGCGGGTTGTGTTGCTGCGCTGTGCGGGTTGTGGTGTTGCTGTGCAGGTTGTGGTGTTGCTGTGCGGGTTGTGGTGTTGCTGTGCAGGTTGTGGTGTTGCTGCGATGTGCAGGTTGGGGTGTTGCTGTGCAGGTTGTGGTGTTGCTGTGCGGGTTGTGGTTTTACTGTGCAGGTTGTGGTGTTGCTGTGCAGGTTGTGGTGTTGCTGTGCAGGTTGTGGTGTTGCTGTGCGGGTTGTGGTGTTGCTGTGCGGGTTGTGGTGTTGCTGTGCGGGTTGTGGTGTTGCTGTGCAGTGCGGGTTGTGGTGTTGCTGCTCTCTGCGAGTGTTTATTTGTGTAGGGTGTTTGTTGTGGTGTTAGTTGTAGTTAAGTTATTTTGTTGAGTGTGTTGGGCTCAGGTGGTGCTGTTGTCGGGTTGTAATTTATTAGTTTACGGTGTTTGTTGGGTTAGGGCGTTTTGGGAAGTTGGTTTGTTGGGCTTGGCTGTTTATTGTGTGTGTGGATAGGGTGTTATTGCTTAATTGCATCATGGTATTTGTTGGGCTGTATTCGTAGTGCCTCAAACAAGCATCACAAGTTTCTGAGCGCAAAGAGAATCCAGAAGCACGGTTACACAGCGCACTTTTGCATGGAGAGTCACACGGGGTGTCCAGGACAACCAGTCAAGGCGTATACACACAACACTGTCGGAGATTGGGGTGTGGGTTTCCTGGGTAGGGTGTGTATGGGCATAGTTGGATTGGTTATGGTTAGTTGGTTGATGGTATTAAATTACATTGTTTTGGAGTTGTGGTGTTTATTGGTTGACGGTATTGGTCAGGTTGTTGCGTGAGTAGTGTTGGGGTTGGTTGAAGGGGCTGGATTAGTGGGTTAGGGGTTCTCTTCCTCAGCTCCATTCAACTCCTCTTCTCTCCTCTCCCTTTATCTCCCCTCTTCTCCCTCAATTTATTTAACGCCGCTGTCTCCCCGCATGTCTCCCCACGCATCCCCCCGGTCAGGTGATGTGCAAGTCGGACGCCCCAACAGGCGATGTGCTGCTGGACGAGGCCCTGAAACACATCAAGGAGACGACGCCGCAGGAGACCGTGCAGACCTGGGTCGAGCTGCTGAGTGGTGCGCCTCACTCGCACGCTCACTCGCACGCTCACTCGCACGCTCACAGGCACGCTCATACGTACTCGCACGCTGTCTTACTCACTCGCTCACACGCTCATTCACATGGTTACTCACTCACTCGCATGCTCACTCACTTGCTCACTCACTCGCTCACTCACTCGCTCACTCACAGATTCACTCTCGCACGTTCACTCTAGCATGTTCACTTTTGCACGTTCACTCGCTTGCTCACGCACACACTCGCGTATTCACGCTCACAAGTTCACGCTCGCACGTTCACGCCTGCATGTTCACGCTCACAAGTTCGATCTCGCATGTTCATTCACTCACGCTTACTCACACTTTTTCACTCCCACGGTCACTCACTCGCTTACTCACTTGAATGTTCACTCTAACATGCTCCTTCACCAATTCTATTTCCTCAATTCAAATGCCTCAGCCCTCACCTCTAACCCCTTTCCTTTAACTCATGACCTCTAACCTTGTAATCCTTCCAGCTCGACTTAACGCTCAAGTCTCCCCTCTCACATCTAACACCTTACCTTGAATTTTTAACCCCACACTTAACACCTCGCCCTTCTCTTCTCACCTCCAGCCTCTCGCCTCTCCCTTCACCGCTGTACACCTCAGCCATCACTGCTCACCCCCCCCCCCCCCACATCCACGTCTCACCTCTCTTCCCGTCTCTCTCCCTCGCTCACCATCGCCTTCCCCTATGGTGGAACCGTTGTCGAGCAGCCGCCCGCCCCGTTCCCACCACGCCTCGCGGCCCACGTCCGCGTTGTCCTGCGCCCGTAGTGGCACGCGGGCATAAGGCGGCGCCCCCTTCCCCCCCCCCATCTCCCCCCCGCTCCGCTGCCCCCTCCCCGCGCTGAGCGGCGTGCGACTGTGCGGCGCAGGCGAGACGTGGAACCCGCTCAAGCTGCACTACCAGCTGCGGAACGTGCGCGAACGCCTCGCCAAGAGCCTGGTGGAAAAGGGGGTCCTCACGACGGAGAAGCAGAACTTCCTGCTCTTCGACATGACCACCCACCCGCTCACCAACAACAACATCAAGCAGCGCCTCGTGCGCAAGGTGCAGGAGTCGGTGCTCGACCGGTGGAGCAACGACGCGGCGCGCCTCGAGCGCCGCACGCTGGCGCTCGTGCTGCTGGCGCACGCCAGCGACGTGCTCGAGAACGCGTTTGCGCCGCTGGCGGACGAGCAGTACGAGACGGCCACCAAGCGCGTGCGCTCCCTGCTCGAGCTCGAGCCCGAGGTCGAGAGCGCCAAGCCCGGGGCCAGCGAAGTGCTCTGGGCCGTCGTGGCCGCCTTCACCAAGTAGCGGCCGCGGCGGCGCCGCGACCAGGGGGCGGTCGCGCGGAGGCGGTCGCGGCGTCGGGAGGGCGGGGGCGGCGGCGGGGATGACGGTGACGCCACCCTCCCCCCCCCCCACTCCCCTTCCCTCCGCGCCCCCACGCCGCGCGGACGTCGTCCCCGCGAGGACTTGCGGCGAACGCCGTGCGCTCGGGGCGCCGCTCCCCCCGGCCGCGGGCGCCGCCGCCGTCTCCGTTCCCGACGTCTCTGGGCGTCCCGAGTTGGCGATGGCGTTGCACGACGCGGGGGAGGTGCCTCTGGGGCCCGGGGAGAGGGGCGGTGAAGTGTGGGTCGCCTCGCTCGTTCGCAGAGCCGAGTGCGTCCGTAGCGAGCGAGGGATTTTTTGTTTTGTTTCATTCTTCCGAGACGGTGGGGGGCACGGGGCCTCCGCTCCGCCACCAGCTCGCCCCTCCGGCGCGGCGGAGGTCGTGCCCGGCAGCAGGAGAAGCTTGAGGTTTTTATGCAAAATCGGAGCAGTGCCTCGTTGCCAGCGACTGAGATCGGGTGCCCGGTCACGACGGGGGGTGGGAAGGGGATTGGAGGGGAGGCGCCGGCGGCGCTGGGAGGGTTGCGTCGTGGCTGCCTCGGCGAGTTTCCGTGCAGCAGAGGGAATCCTGTAAATTTCCAAATGGAGCTCCAGCGGTGTGGAGGCCCGAGGGACGGGTGGACACAGCGACGGACGTCACCACCCCCCCCCCTCACTCTGCACCGCCACCCCCGCCTGGTGCTCTGCGGACTCGGAAAAGACTGTGCGCACAGCGGCCATGGACGGCGCTTGCGTAGAAGAAGAAGGAGAACCATGCGCCTGCTGCAAGCGTGGGGGAGCGAGCGAGCGTGCGAGTGTGGAGGAGCGAGCGAGCGACGAGGGAGTGCGGCAGAGTGGGCGTGTGGGCTGAGGCGCTGGCGGTCGTGGTGCTCGTGTCGTCTGGACCATGAGGAAAGCCGCGGTTTTATGCTGAGTGCCGTCTCATCAACCCCCCCCCCCCCCACCACCTCTTGACTGTGTGCCCCCACTTCTGCTGTCCCAAGGCGACCGGGCTCCCCTCGGTCTTAATAACCTCACTTAGTTCGGTCATTCGGAGGCCGTGGATTTATCGGTGAGCGCCCTCGCCGTGCCCGAGTGACTCGCAACTCGACCGCACCCGTAAGAGGGAACTCGCCAGGGTTTAACTCGCTCCCTCGATGCTTCTAAATCAATGCGATGTCACATCGCGTGGACCAACAAACGTCACGGATTATTCATCGATGTTTGCCCTATTTGTTGCTGTTTGGAACGCCCCAGCCCCGATTAGCCCGTTGCCACCCCTGGCGCAGCAGCGAGCAGTCGAGTCCTGCCCAGGTTGAGGGTCGGGGAGCGAAGCGGCTAGGGAGGAGGGGGACCCAGCAGCAGCCATCATTCACTCCGCGTTTGTGGGAGCTGGGATTCTCGTGCTGTTAGATTGGTTAATTGCTGTATTTGTAATTAGTGGCCATGAGCAACGATCCCGCTCCCCCCGGCTTCACGTTAACGGGCCGGACTTCTGTCCCCCGCCAAGGCCCCCTTGCTGCTCCCCTTTGCGCTCCGCCCCTCCCTCCTCCGCTGTAAGAGGCTCGAGCGGGAGAGCGTGCGGATGTGTGCGCGTGTGTACAGGCTCGGTTATTCTCCCCTCTGTCCGCGTTGCTGGGCGTCGGCTTGATTTTTAAGGTGCGGTCGTGGTACTCGGGTTCATTTCGCCGACGTCTCGTCGGCAGCCGCGGCGTGGGGTCACGGCCGGGGGGTTGGGGTCACGGCCGGGGGGTTGGGGTCACGGCCGGGGGGTTGGGGTCACGGCCGGGGGGTTGGGGTCACCGTGGCCCCCCCGCGGTGGAGCGCCGTCAACTGATTTGGGTTTTGTTGGGAGTCCTGTGTTCTCTAATCCTTCCGAACTGCATCTCTTTCTCGTGTATCAGCCAATCTTACTACAATAATAATTATGATGATGATGATGATAATAATAATAAAGCTTTCCTCGGTATTTGGGCGCACGCACACCACATGGGATTGATTCGCGGGACATGACTGCCCGTGACTGGCCTCGTGTCCACAACCTGTGCACCTGTTCCTGCGTGTTCTATGCTGATGGGTGTTTGTGGGCGAGTGTGTGCGTGTGCGCGCGTGTGTTTGTGGGCGAGTGTGTGTGTGTGCGTGGGTGTTTGTGTGTGAGGAGCGGTAGTGTAGTGGTTAGCGCACTGTGATATGATCCTGGCAACCCGAGTTGGAATCCCGTAAACGGCCAATACCAGTGACGATTTTCTGAACCGGTCTTGGCCCTTCCCTAGGTGGACTCAGCGTCACGTGAGTCCCTGGTGCAAAATGTAAACAGCCACGATGGAGACGAAGGCAGCCCGGCGTGGTGCTGGACATTCACCCCCTCATGTGCCGTGCTGCTGTCAAATAGGTGCTCGCTAACAGCTCTCGCCCCAACAGTCAGGGCTACGCGGGGAATTTTTATACATGCGAGTGGTAAACAAAGTATCTGGTGATGCTGCATTCGCAGTGGTGCACAAGCACAACCAAGAGCAACAACTCAACACAGTACACACAACGTGACGGGTCAGGGGAGGTTGATACTGCTACATCTTGCAGAGCCTCCGAAGTTGAAGTACCCTCAACCCCTTGTGAGTGGCTGACGTATTAGTCCATGGGCGAGAGCATGAGGTGGAACATCTAGGCGCACCTATTACATGGTCAATGGGAGTGAGTTACCTGATAAACGCAACCATTTGACGTGGTAATCACGTGATTAACTTGTTGGCCACATTGAGAAATCGGGTCCGCAAAAGTGATGCCGCCTCGTGTCGTACAGACAGGTGGGACATCTGTTGTGGGCTCGAAGACTCTGCCATCTGCCGAGGAGGTGCGAAGAGCGAGCATGGAGGCTGAGAGTCCATATCCAGTGCCACGTGGAGGTTGAGCGCAGGCTGGATGGGGGTTCCCTGGGATTTGGAGTCACGGTGCCCCATCCAAGGGGGGTGGCCACGATAATAGCAACAACCAGTGATGGACTGGGACTCAAAATTGGCCCCGGCATTTGTAACCACGCCGGGCCCAAATGGCCGTGCGATCTCAACTTTCCCATTTGGGCTGGCCCAAAAAACAAGTGGGCCGATGAAGAATCTTTGGGGCTGCCAAATATGGGGACTTGATGCCAACTGAGCGCGTAAATAAGAAATGAAGCGTACACAGAGGTAATATGTTAATAGGCAGACCGTCCAGGCCTGACGGCAACCAGCGGGCATCTCAAGAGAGCCGGCAAAGGCTCTGGCGACGATGACTCCACATCGCCTTGCCAGGCAGCACGCCGAGGTAACCTGGCACGGTTGCCGTGGTGAGGGTAGTACCGCCACTTGATTATTGCTGCGTGTGTGCCTGCCCTTCATAGCTTTCGCTAACGGCACTTGCCCCAGCAGTCTTATAAAAGGCTTTACGGGGATCTATTCCGCTGTGTGTGAGTACGAGTTCAGGAGTGTGTACGTGTCGCGGGGAGCGGTGACGAAGTAATTGGCTCGCTGCTCTTCAAACCCTGCGACCTAAGTTCTAAATTAAACAACTTTTATTAGGTAAGGCCCACTGAGCTAGATAGCTTTTGTTGAGAAGCCACCGAGCCATAAGTGATGGCCTCACGAAGTGGCGAATGTGGAAATGCAACGCAGCAAAGACCACGGTGCTTGCATCCTATCAGCAGAGGGTTACATCGTCTCTTTGTCAAGGTCTGAATGTCTGGCATGGTACCTACTGATTGGAGAGACGGTATCATCTCGACAAAGGGAAAGGATCTCATGGCATGCAGTAATTATAAACCAATATCCCTACTTTAGTACCGGGAAAGGTTTTTGCACGTCTGCTTCTGGGCAGGCTGCAACCATTCCTGTGCTTGTACTCCGCCTACTTGCAGAACTACAGCGACTGCCCATTGCACGTCGCTTTTACTTGGATTTTAAGGCGGCTTTTGACTGTGGATCGATCAACTCTGGTCTGCTTTGAGAGGTCCGATGCATCCTGCTGAACCTTGTAAAAGATCTACTTGCAGGCACAAGCGCAAAGATTCATGTCTGGTCCGGACTTTCGCCACGATTCTAAACACATCTGGAGTATGTCAATGATGCGTCCTCACACTGTCGCTCTTCTATCGGGCGATCGACTGGAGCTTTTAAAACATGACCCATGACCTTGGAATCAGGATTAGCCGCAACCACTGACCTCGACTACGCTGATGATGCAGCCTTGTTTTTTGAGAAGCCTGAAACAGACGCACAACAGTCCGATAGTTCCACAACAGTGCAAGAAAAAGAGGACTAAATTAAAACAAAAGTCCAGAACTTGGGATCCGGACCTCCACAGTCACCCTGCGTAATCAACGGCAATGCTGTCGAAGCAACGGAGGAACTTCTCTGCCTAAGATCTGCAGAGACCACTGATGGACGATGTACACCTGATGTCATGCGACGTTTCGGCCTGGCCTCAGGAATAATTAACGGTCTGAACTGCATTTGGTCCCGGAAACGTTTAAGTCTGGGTACCAAATTGAGAGTCTACCAGTGATGCGTTTTGTCAGTTTTTTGTAATTGTGCGGAGGCCTGGACATTGCTTGAAGCTTATCTGGATCGGCAGCAGTCCTTCCACGTGCGATGCCAAAGATGGCTTTTTGGCATCCATTGATTCGACTTCGTCAGAAATGTCACGGTTGCATCTGCGACCGGCCTCCTGGCCATTGAGAGCTCATTTCGAGGGAGATGGTTGTCGCTTATTGGACGCGTTACCCCATCTTGATGCGCAAACTGCGGGCTTCAGTTGGCGGTCGACGTTCGAAGCGAGGACTGCGACCCTCAAAGGAATGGCGCCGCCCCCGTGGTCACCCCCTTGAGACGTGGATCAAACAGACCGCTCGAGACGCCGGTGTATGGCAGCAAGAGCAGTTGATGCGAATACTGTCGCAAGAGGCCACGTTTTGCGCCACGCTCCTTCGCTGACCATGTGTGATGTTTGAATGAAACACGAAACGCATGTTTCTAAATGTCGAGGGAAAACCAGAGGACCCGGAGAACAATCCATGCGACCACGGGGAGCACAAGCAAACTCCAAATATGCAGGTGTCAGGGTCGGGATCGAACCCACGACCTATATACCAGGTGAGGGAGTTAACATCTCGACACCGCTCATATCTGAACCGATCGTGGACCCCAGCCCCTAGGTCGACTCAGCCTCAAATGAATACGTGGTGCGGCGTGCAAACATCAGTCGAGTTCTGCGAGGACCGGGTGGGGTGGTGTGCCGACCTTAATAGGACCGGGTGGGGTTGGTAATAGGACCGGGTGGGGTGGTGTGCCGACCTTAATAGGACCGGGTGGGGTGGTGTGCCGACCTTAATAGGACCGGGTGGGGTGGTGTGCCGACCTTAATAGGACCGGGTGGGGTGGTGTGCCGACCTTAATAGGACCGGGTGGGGTGGTAATAGGACCGGGTGGGGTGGTGTGCCGACCTTAATAGGACCGGGTGTGGTGGTGTGCCGACCTTAATAGGCGTTCGCCGACAGTACTTGTCAAGATTGTTTCACCAGGTAAGTATTTGAGAGACGAGGATGGAGGAGTTGCATTCACAGTAGTGGCCTGGGTCTCCACAATGACAAGCACAGCCATACAGTACAGCAATGGAGCAAAAACAACCAAATAGGGTTCAGCAAAGTAACACAACCGTGTAAATCAGTGTACAACAGGGAGCCAAGGAGCGGCGTGGATGTGATGTTAGGGTGAGGTTATGGTGAGAGGAGGTTCGGGGGAGGTGAGGTTAGGGGGAGGTTAGGGTGAAGTCGATGAGGTTAGGGTGAGGTTAGGGTAAAGTGAGGTCAGGGTGTGGGGTCAGGGTGAGGTGAGGGTCGGGTCAGGGTGAGGTGAGGGTGTGGGGTCAGGGTGAGGTGGGGTCAGAATGAGGTGAGGATGTGGGGTCAGGGTGAGGTGGGGTCAGGGTGAGGTCAGGGTGAGGTGGGGTCAGGATGAGGTGAGGATGTGGGGTCAGGGTGAGGTGGGGTCAGGGTGAGGTCAGGGTGAGGTGGGGTCAGGATGAGGTGAGGATGTGGGGTCAGGGTGAGGTGAGGGTGTGAGGTCAAGGTGAGGTGGGGTCAGGGTGAGGTCAGGGTGAGGTGGGGTCAGGGTGAGGTTAGGGTGTGAAGTCAGGGTGAGGTGGGGTCAGGGTGAGGTCAGGGTGGGGTCAGGGTGAGGTCAGGGTGTGTTTTGGGGGAGACGGCAGCAGGTGGCGCCCGTGTAAAGGCGGCGCGTCACGTGGCCAGGTGAAGAGGCGGTCAGCTGGAGTCACCGCTGAATACACCGTGTGTGTTGTACACGTGTGTGTGTTATACACGTGTGTGTGTGTTATACACGTGTGTGTGTGTGTGTTATACACGTGTGTGTGTGTTGTACACGTGTGTGTGTTATACACGTGTGTGTGTGTTATACACGTGTGTGTGTTATACACGTGTGTGTGTGTGTTGTACACGTGTGTGTGTGTTATACACGTGTGTGTGTGTTATACACGTGTGTGTGTGTTATACACGTGTGTGTGTGTTATACACGTGTGTGTGTGTTGTACACGTGTGTGTGTGTTATACACGTGTGTGTGTGTGTGTTATACACGTGTGTGTGTTATACACGTGTGTGTGTGTGTGTGTTATACACGTGTGTGTGTGTTGTACACGTGTGTGTGTGTTGTACACGTGTGTGTGTTATACACGTGTGTGTGTTGTACACGTGTGTGTATTATACACGTGTGTGTGTTATACATGTGTGTGTGTGTTATACACGTGTGTGTTATACATGTGTGTGTGTGTTATACACGCGTGTGTGTGTGTTGTACACGTGTGTGTGTGTGTTGTATAGGTGTGTGTTAACACGTATGGATAGGTGTATTATACACGTGTGTGTTGTACACGTGTGTGTCTTGTACACGTGTGGGTTTAACACGTTTGTGTGTTGTACACGTGTG